TTTCAAACAAACCTGTTGTTTCCACAGCTTTCTGGAACAACAGCGTTGCCTGGCTGGCTGCAGCTGCAATTTGTTCTTAACACATTATCGTTTGCCAATGCATAGGGTCCATAGTAGGACGCGACCACCCAGATGTTGTAGCCTAACGGATGATGTTGAAGGGCACCTGTCAGTACTCTCAGGTCGTCAAAGCTGAAATGCAAAAAAGGGTCCTAACATCATCTCCCAAATCCCTGACTTGCATAGTTCTGTCAAGGTTTGTACATGCTTACAGGAGCACACATACTTCATGAAAATCTGCTGCCACCCTCCGCCACAGCGGAAGGCTGAGGGTGGTTGTCATTTTAATGTCAGCTAGTTGGGTTTAGTGCTCGTCTGCTTTCCTTCTGAAGATCCTTTGTGCTTGTGCTGGCTCTTTTAAAGACTTGTATTTTTTGTTTTGAAAAATGAATTTTAAAAAATGACCCAGAGAAGAAAATGATGATCGGAACAATCCCGATCACAACACTGAAACTGCCAAGGAAGAGAATCCCTTGTAGGTTTACGCTGGCCAGCTGGGACAGCGTGAGTTTAGTCTGGCAGACACTTTAGGCACTATCGATAAAAATCACCTTCAGTAAAACACGCTATGGTCTTCCGATGTTGGCTTGGGGTAGCCAGGCATTCGTGAACCGATTCTTGTGCTCATTCCAAAGTCACTGGGTTTTCTTTATGCTTCTTTGTAAGCATTTATTAAACTGAAAAATCAGTGAGCTGGCTCTTCCTTCCCCAGTCCCCACTCTGCACTGGGATATTCTGCAGCGTGACAGTAGCAGTAATGAACACCTCTGTGCGTGCTTAGAGATGATTATTTGCACCATTTTCAATCTATTTTTCTAAGGCTTGCCATCTGATGCCCATCTAATGTGTAGCCTCTCTCTGCTGGGAGAATGAGCACAACCGATCACAAGGGAGAGGTTCAGTTCAAGAACATATGTCTCAGCCAACAGACGGCATCCTCTGTCTGACAGCTGCTTCCCTATTCTTTGCTGCTTCACATCTCTCCCCCTCCCCCCCTTATTTTGAATAAAATTCCATATTTTTGCCCCTGTAAGAAGCCATGCAGGCCAGATCTGAGAGTGAACTCCCCGTTCAATGTTCTTGTTTAAAATAATCAAACACACCTTTTTGCTAAGTGCTTGGGTAATTGCAAAAAAGCTGGGAGGTTATCTCCTTGCCAACCGCTGGAAGAGGCAATGCAGGGCTGTGGGATAAGACTCTAACAACAAATAGGTTTATCTGTTTGGTTCTTCTTCCTTGTCAGGTTTAACGGGGAGAAAAGCACATCTATACCAAACTACCTCTATGGATTTATTAAAAGATGCACAAAATGATCAAGCTCCAGCTCTTGGACAATTCCCTGTGCAGCCCTGTTAAGCAAAACTTCCTACAGATTTCACACTGAAAGAACAGATTTTGAAAGTACAGGTAAAGCTCACAAATCCACTCAGAACTCCTCTTTTCAGGAGGCCCTCATCAACCAGAAAGGATGTTACATTTTGAATACTAAAATGTGTCAAGGCATTGAGATTGCTTATCTCGTAGGAGGATTTATGGACCTGAGTGTAGTTTGGTGCAGGACTTCTGTGCTTCTGTAAAAACTACATATGCAATGAAAATGTCGTAATACAGTAGCTAATTACCCAGTCTGCCAAAGATTCAGCCCAGCTATGGCTAGGGGCACACGCTCAGGATCCGACGGCAGTGACTGCTGAGCACATCCATCAGCTTTAGCAGGGATGCCTGTCCGTGAGCTCCAGCAAACGGCAGTACTTCTCTCTCAGTTTCTACAGAATAAAGCTGGTAATGCTCTCCAGGCGTCTCAGGAGGTTTCATTCACCTATGTAAGAAAAATTCTTTTAGATTCTGTATCAAAGACGTACTAAAAACCCCAAGCAAAGGTGAAGTGGCTGGTTTTAATGCCAAAGCATGCAGACGATACACTTTTACAAACGTTCACGTGGCACACCACAAATTACCCAGGACTCGGAAGAAAGCTTTTACTTTGTTCAGGGCACTAACACATGGTGTTCTAAAATAATGACAGAAATAGTTGTAGCCATATTGCTTATCCCAGAAATCCAACGTTTGTAGGGAGAATGCCAAATGCTGGGCATGTCTCTCTGTTGTTGCAACGTCTTATGAAATATCAGATCGTCATTCTGGGGGGACACGACCTGATCCAGCAAGGGGCTGAGCACCCTTAGTTGATGTAAGAGGCAACCGGGTTTCCAAGGCTGAAAGCAGCCTGAAGAGTGGGAAGAAAAAGAGAGCAACTCACTTGTCTGTGTCTCACATTGACGATATCTGCTTAAAACCAAAAGTAAGAATTAAACTTGAACAAGAGGGGGGTAAATTTGTCAGAATCTGAAAAATCTGTTCAATGGGGGGGAAAAAAATGTCTAAAATTTAAAGAGAGAAAAATGTCACCCTGGTCCGAATCCAGGTAGAGGCTGTATGCGGCACTGATGTAGGCTCCCATATGTTTCCCAGAGGCATTGACGGAGACAAGGAAATTTAGACTCAGGGAAGTGTAATTATTCGTGACTGAAACAAAATAGCAGGCAGCTTATGCATATACCTTTCCTATTGAATTAGCATTCTTCTACTGAATTAAACTATTCTCACATGCTATTGTACTTTCGGAGGTAGCCGTATGTTTTTTCACATTCTGTCTCGCACGCTACTTTTTTTAGTCATCAGAACTTAATGACATAAAAATTGCTATCCGAGTTGACACAGTTATTCCCCCTTGATGATAGACTTCAAGTAACAGCATAATGTGACAGATGAGAGTGCTGAAGCTCAGTGTTTCACACAGACTTAAAAATAATAAAAAAAAAATGATTCCTGCAAAACTTTCGAGAACTATTCTATGGGGGAACAATTTTTCTACTCTGTAATTTATTTGCTTTTCTTTCTTCCTTCATTTTTCTATGCCTAGAAACATGTGTATGAAAACAGGAATTTAGTTGTTCAGGAACTCATTTACTCCCGCTGTGCAGTCATCACAGGAAATCATAACCCTCTCTTTTGGTAGCAGCTTAAGACTAGGCAGCAGCATAGATCAAATAAACATGGGAAGATTAAACAGGTCTGAGAGCCGTACCGGGGCTGGATTTAACTGGAAAAGCACACAGACTTGCATTCAAGATCAGCGAAATCTTGTTGATAGATAATTTAGGCTCAAAGCGAGGAAAGTAGCATAAAGAAGCTGTGTAAAGGCAGGCTCAGCGCATGCAGGCCCTGGGTACAGAGGTACAGCAGGCAGAAGTATTTCTGGAAAATCCCGTAGTCTTGATGCAGATAAGTTGTTGCAGCAAGATTTCTGTCACGCTGAATGGAGCTCTCACGCAAACAGGTATTCCTGGAAAATTTCAACAGCGTCTAAACCAGATTGAAGTGAGAGATTCCTTCCCATGTTGAGAGGCCTAGCCTTGATCCCCCTGGAAATGAGGATTTGCATCAGGCATCCACATCCAGAATTCGCACCGCCAAACTTCCCAAGGCTCCACACGTGAAGTTTCGGTTTTAGCTCATTTCAAATGTATACTTAACGTTAGATTAATCTGGTTTGGGTCTAAGCAATCCATCAAGCCCCAAGGAATGATACGAGTTAATTCTTTGGCTATCAAAGGCCCAAAAGGTTTCCCATTGCAGGAATTTGCATCTTTCCCTTCCTTCATTATTTGGATAATTTGCATGAAAGTAATGTGTCTCTGCCTGTGAGTCTTTGCCCCTGCTGCTTTGTAGTTCACTCCAAGCAGTCACTCTGCATATGATATCACTGTTATTTGCTACTGAAATAATTTTAATGTCACGAAAAGGAGTGAGATTTCAAGTGAGGAGTGAGCAATAGGAAAACCTGATCACCTAAGCAACAGAAGTTCCGTTTCATGCCTGCGTGTCTAATAATACCTAACAAGGCAAAAAAACCTCTCGCCGAGGGAACAAGACATTCTCTTTCTTCCCAAGGAAAATGTTTTCTTACGGCTTAAACAACAGGCAAAGCTGCTGGGCTCTGCATTTTTCAAGCATGCCAGCCGTATGTTTGCTCAGCATCAATGCCAGGTTGATATGAAACGATCCGGTTGTGACAAGGACGGGTGGTTTGGGGGGTTCGGCAGCGCTCGGGTCCTTTCCCCCAGCACAACCTCAACAACCTCCCAGGAGGGCCCCGCTCCGACCTCCTGGTGCCACCTTCCCAACCCTCTGGTGATGCCAGAGGCAGAAGAACAGGCCCACGGCGGCCATTTGGGGCGGCGGCCTTGCCCTCCCTCCATGACCGACCCAAGAAACTCCTAAAGCTGGGCGAGAAACCCTTCGCAGGCACCCTGCGGCCTCGGACGTCCCTGCGGGGCCGGGCTCCGTGCCCAGCTCACGCCCCCGGCGCTACGAGCGCGGAGGGGCCCGATCCTGAGGTAAACCCTCCCCCCCCTCCCCGAAATGTCC